GTCCTTCTCTTCATGGTGGACCATATTTATATCATCTGCACTTTGTCCTCTGCTCATGTCTTCTGACATTTTTCTTCATCTTTATGGTAATGACCATTTTCCTAACTTTTGTCATGATCTACCTTTTTGCATATACACAAAAATGTCTTTAATTATCTTGTTTTCTGTCGAGAGTGTCTCGGAGAGTACCTCCCTCACATGATGGTATAGGACAGCGTGCACTACTTTGAGAGAGATAGAATATGGTTTTACGGGCTACTAACCAAAGTGTAAAAAAACTCTCCAGTGGGGAATCGAACCTTGGTCGTCCGCGTGACAGGCGGGAATACTAACCACTATACTACCGAGGACTGTAAAAGTTCGATTTCATAACATCTACGAGAGGGTTTATGGAATCGGTCGAATTTACCAAACTGGTAAATTAAGCTGGTGAAGTAGCAATGGCCGATTTTCAGGCAAGAATACAACATATAGTTATGGGAGAATGATACATATCTGTTTTAAATGGATGCATGTATAACTATTTTGGTTAAAAACATGAAGTTGATGTTATATTCTTTTAATTATTTAAATTCTAAAAAAACACGTGAGAACGTCCTTGCAACCTTAGAACAAATTTTAACGCCTTGCCAAATGCTTTATTTTTATCTACTTCTCCTGACGAAGCCAAAATATTTTTGTCGAAACGTTGAGAAAAATTAAAAAAAAAAAAACTCTAACTGGTCGAAGTGTCTATTTTTTATATAAATATGTTATATTCTTGTTTAAAGATAGAAAGCTTCAACCAGAATTTCTGGATACGTGGACAAGTTTCATTCTAGCACATCCCCAGCTAGCTATTGTATATCCAAACACAGATATCTGTTATCAAGCATCAATATACTGAATGGGATATTTTAGAAACTTATGGCCTCAATGTTGGATAATAGACAGGTGACCTGGGAAGTAGAGTGGAATTCCGCTGTACAAGGGCGGTCATTGTAGGGCCATTGAACTCGAGATTCTGTTTTAGCTTACGCCCTGACAAGTCTGAAGAGTTTTTCTGAGTACTTCATTTTTTTACTTCTCTCTCTCCCTTCCCCGTATAATTAAACCAACTTCTTAATTGCGTCGTTATAAACTGACCATGCTTGTAGTCAACCTTGTTCCGGACATCTAAACAGGAATAATATGCAAATTGAAATCGATATTTTTGGATAATTATCTTCACACTTAATATATATATATGAGCAGTACACGTATATGGCAATAGCTTTAGTCATTTAGCAAGAACACAAATCAAACAAAACATGCATATATATCTAATATATGCAAAAGAGATAATATGCAAATACAGATTTTATTCTCATATATACTATGCAAATTGCGAAAGAGAAACTTACTTCTCTCTCCCTTCCCCGTATAATTAAACCAAATTCTTAATTGCGTCGTTATAAACTGACCATGCTTGTAGTCAACCTTGCTCCGGACATCTAAACAGGAATTATATGCAAATACGAATGATATAAACCCACTATGCAAATTGAAATCGATATTTTGGGATAATTATCTTCACACTTAATACAGTTAAACCTGTCCATAGCGCCCCCTCTTGGGACTCACCAAAAAAGTGTGCTATAGAGAGGGGGTGCTATAGACAGGTCACTTTTAATGTAAATCGCATCGTACTACGTATTTAAAATCGGGCGCTATAGAGAGGAAGGCGCTATTTAGAGGGGGCGATATAGACAGGTTTAACTGTATATTAAAGCAGTACACATATATACTAATATGATTAGTCATTTAAGAAGAACGCAAATCAAGTAAAACATGCATATATGTAGTATATGCAATAGAGATAATATGCAAATACAGATTTTATTCTCATATATACTATGCAAATTGCGAAAGAGAAACTTACTTCTCTCTCTCCCTTCCCCGTATAATTAAACCAACTTTTTAATTGCGTCGTTATAAACTGACCATGTTTATAGTCAACCTTGTTCCGGACATCTAAACAGGAATAATATGCAAATACGAATAATTCAAACTACTATGCAAATTGAAATCGATATTTTGGGATAATTATCTTCACACTTAATATATATAAGCAGTACACATATATGACAATATATGTCATCTAACAAGAACACAAATCAAACAAAACATGCATATATGTAGTATATGCAATAGAGATAATATGCAAATACAGATTTAATTCTCATATATACTATGCAAATTGCGAAAGAGAAACTTGCTTCTCTCTCTCCCTTCCCCGTATAATTAAACCAACTTCTTAATTGAGTCGTCGTAAACTGACCATATTTGTAGTCAACCTTGCTCCGGACATCTAAACAGGAATAATATGCAAATACGAATGATATAAACTACTATGCAAATTGAAATCGATATTTTGGGATGATAGATCTTCACACTTAATATATATAAGCAGTACACATATATGACAATATATGTCATCTAACAAGAACACAAATCAAACAAAACATGCATATATGTAGTATATGCAATAGAAATAATATGCAAATACAGATTCTATTCTCATATATACTATGCAAATTGCGAAAGAGAAACTTACTTCTCTCTCTCCCTTCCCCGTATAATTAAACCAACTTCTTAATTGAGTCGTCGTAAACTGACCATATTTGTAGTCAACCTTGCTCCGGACATCTAAACAGGAATAATATGCAAATACGAATGATATAAACTACTATGCAAATTGAAATCGATATTTTGGGATAATTATCTTCACACTTAATACAGTTAAACCTGTCTATAACGTCCCCTCTTGGGACTCGCCAAAATAGGGTGCTATAGACACATCACTTTTAATGTAAATCGCATCGTACTGCGCATTTAAAATCGGGCGCTATAGAGAGGGAGGCGCTATTTAGAGGGAGCGCTATAGACAGGTTTAACTGTATATTAAAGAAGTATACATATATACTAATATGATTAGTCATTTAAGAACACAAATCAAACAAAACATGTATATATATCTAGTATATGCAATTAAGACAATATGCAAATACAGATTTTATGCTCATCTATACTATGCAAATTGCGAAAGAGAAATCTATACATTAATGATGATACGCTTCTATTTTCTAATTTGAAATCCTACTATATTCTTACGAAGCTGGTTGCTCATATAGCGCGCATATGTTGCTATTTTAATATATTATCGATAATAATAGAAACTATGTGTTTCTTATTTATTACATATTTATTGTTATTATTACTATTATTTCTGTATATACCGTCTTCTACTCGGAAAATCTGTATAAGGCCAAAAGGTCTTAATAAGGCTTTGTTGTTATTTATTATAAATTCGGTTAGCTTTCAAGCATTAGATCTTCCTCAGTCTTGAGAACAGATGCCTGAGAAAGATTAAACTCTTGAAAGCTAATCGCGAATTTATAAATAAATAAATAGTAAGGGACTGCCCTGTAGTACGGTGTCGTGAGCCCCGAGCGGCTACGGTAACCGTGAACAGGGAACTCTGAAATGTGGCTGACTAACAGTGCAATGGCACCCCTCCTTTCCATGGAGCAACAAATGTTCCATGGACAAGACACCACCATAAATAATTAAATAAAAGATGCATATGGAAATTCACCTTTTTACTTTTATTACGTACTTTGTACAAGTAACTTCGAATTAAAAAGAAAAATTTATAAAAAAAAATCAATTTTTATATACATTAGAACCTCCCTGTAAAGGACAACACCTAATTGCAGAGCCAAAGTGTTCTTTAGGAAGAGATGTCCTCTTACAGGAGAGTTGCTGAATTGTAAAAACGGTAATTTTGTAAATGAAAATTGTCCTTTATAGAGAGGTGTCCTCTAGAGGGGTGTCCGCTAAAGGGAGGTTCTATTGTACTTTGTAATAATAAAGATGTTATAAAAATTGACTTAGTCCTAAGTCAAAATAAAACGACTAAAGAACTGTAGACGATCTGTGCGTAGAACGGAAGTCACAGAGTCATGTTTAATTCAGAAGACCAAATGCCATGGCACATACTCTACATACCTTTGGTTAGCTATGTTCCATGGTGTCAGCTTAATGTGGATATATACATCCGCATATGTGTGAAAATGTATGTACCTTTCTCATAGGTCGAGTTGGTTGAATGTCGTTTGATGTGCTGATTATCCGAGTTCAAATTTCTTCTTCTACGCAAAAAGAAAAGATAAAAATTGTTGGTTATTTTGTGTATCTGTATTAGACTAATTGCTTTCCTTGTATTTTTATAGAAATGGTAATAACATTGATATGAATTTATATCTGAAAGTTATATGTAAAATATGAAGAGAAATCTCAATTTTTTCTAGTATATTATTTGTATATGCTAAGATATTTTAATATATTTGCTCAATCTTTTTCTGACCTTTTTTTGCTTTCCTAAAGAGAGTTAAGAGATAATTCATTCCATCGTTAAATATATTGTTGAATATAGAGTGTGTATCGATAAATTCGTGGGTTGAGAATGTTGTTCTTAAAGAAAATGTGCAACTATATGAGTTGTTTACGATACCTGCGTCATTGTGTTGAAAGTTGTTTATGTTTTTGGATTGGTATTTCATTCATAGATTTTTTTTCACATCAAACACCACAGAGACAGCCCCAGTTGATGATACAGGGGGTCAAGGAGAGATCTCGGACAAAACGTCAGTTTATCAACAACAGACACCATACAGACAGCCCCAGTTGATGCTAGCGGTCAAGGAGAGACCTCGGACAAAACGCGTCCGCCAGTTGACAATAGGCAATATCCCGGATGGATACTGCGGACCAATGACGACAGCCTTTCAAAAAAAAAAAAAAAAAAAAAAAAAGGTGACCCAATCAGAAGTTAGCTGTAAACCACGCAATCTTCTCCTTTTATTCGAATTCACACAGTGTGTCTTCTATTAATAGGTGGCTTTATCCATTCTCCGCCACAATTCCTGCCGTGATTGTTTAAATTCGGTATTGAGATGCATCAACTGAGATGGATACCCAAAGAGGATGAAGCTGTTATCTATTAGCTCATATGAATCAGACACGAATTCTTATTGTAGCAATATTTTAAAGACATCAAGAAAGCGACATCAAATCACGTAACAGACATGTTGGATTGAGTGGAGACAATAAGCAGCCATCCATCAAGACAATATCTACACGTTCAGAAAGCATGTCTACCTTTACGTGCTGTACACAATGACACTACAGCCCAGTAATCAGGCTTATTGTAACACAATGTATAGGTACATCATGTTGTAATATATCAATATTGTTGATATCTCTTTCCTTTAGTCGGTTTGCATTACATCCCAATCTCGCGTTTATGTTATGGTGCATTTAACCATCG